GAATGGAAAAATATTTTACTTAAAGTTAAGAATTCATTAGAGGGGTTTATAGCAGATTATACATGGCAGAAAACAATACACTAGAAGATAAGTTAGGCATTATCTACTTGTGCTAGTTATTCATTTATTGCCTCTCATCTCCCAAATCTACTTTTCTTTTTCCTATTTATGAAACTGAGGCTGGATCTTGTAAACATTTTTTCCTTTGCCAGCTGGTGTTTAGCTTGTCAATGGAAGTGATGAAGAGACAGTACAAGGCAAAACAGAAGAGAAGTTCCTTATCCTAGTTCTGGTGGATTTTTTATAGCTGCTCCTATGATACAGCTGCTAGAGGCATGTAGGAGACCCCATTGTGCTCACCCTTCTGCCAGTTTAATGCACCCTGCCCTTTTCTACTCTCCAGCCTTGGCCAACCATGAAGTGCAGCCATGGGTGATACATGCTGAGTAGAGGTGCTGGGTAGGCCACACACCAGTTCTCTCCTGCAGCACCCCAAGTGAAGGTCTCAACCTCCATGGGCTTCAGCCACACCTTCTCCAGCCCAGAAGTCCGAGTGTCGGCATTAATGGTAAGGGGAGATGTGAGGAAGGATCTTCCAAGTTTGTTCCTTCCTGGGTATCCTCCCTTAGCCCTGGGGTAACTATTTCTCTATGCAATTGCTTTTTTTACATTCTTTGGAATTGTCTTCTGCTCCTTTAAATTGTTATTCTCTATATTCAATTTTCCTATTCAAATTACTAGCATGGTTTCTGTCTCCTAACCGAAATCCAATTGATAAACTGTTTGTTTCATTTTAATTTTAACTTGTTTGTTCTTTCAAGATGTTCTGTTTTTCCACAATTGTGCTTTTAAAGCCGTGTTTATAGCACATGCTTTCAAAATTATATGTGTATGCATATGTATATATATTAATAGTCCTCTCCTTAATTCTCTATACATGTGACCCAAAAAGTCCATTCTTCAGCAAATACCCACCAGAAATGCATACATACTAGTATATTCACTGAGATATGTACCACTCACAGGAGCACTATTCACAACAGCAAGAAACCAAAATAACCCAGATGTTGATCAATAACAATGGATAAAGAAACTGTGACATGTTCAATTTATATATTCAGTTTGTATTGCTCAATACTATGAGCAATGAGCATACAACAACAAATTGTATAGGTGAAGTTCACAAATAAATGTTGAGTGAAAATGTTCAGACAGTTTACTCTTGGATGAAATGGCCACAGTGACGGAAGGGGGCATGAGCAGGGCCTCTGGACACTGGAAGTGTTCTGTTTCTTGATCTAGGAACTGGTCATGTAGTGTATTTACTTTCTGAAATTCGCCACACTATACACTTGTGATTTGTACACTCTTCTATAGTGTATTATTCTTCAATAAGTTACACCAAAATATAGAGTACTTATAAACAATCGAATAATGTTTCTAAGTCCCTGGCACCTCCCAAATGAGGTTCTGATAACTGCTCCTCCTACATGACCCACAGCACCCTGTGCATATACCTCTACCCAGCTCTTATATGTGGTATACATATACCACCCATGGCTGCAATTCTATGAATGTATCTGTCTTAAGTGCTATGTCCAGCTTGAAAGCTAAAAATGAAACTTTTATAGGTCTCAAGTGAGGTATTAATAGATACCTGAACAATGACGGAACACTCTATTTTAAAAGATATGATAGGCCATGCACATGGAAGTGTCTAGCACTAGGAGCATCACATATCTGGGCGGCATTTTTCAGCAGTGGGCAGTGCACTCCATACCAGCTTCACACATTCTTTGCATCTATTTCAAGCCTACAGGGCATGAGCACCATTTTGCAAGGACACATTCAAAAGATGTCTTTCTGCAGGTAGTACAGTGAAGAGCAGGGGAAGAGTAGTGACAAAGTGTTAGTACAATACTTCTTTCTATGCTAACATTCCATGCTAGCAGAACAGAGTCAAAAATTATACAACATGGGCAGTAGCAGTAGCTCCCCCAACCTAAAGATGATTGTCTCAAAGACAAACTGCCCTCACCTTCTTCAAACTAGGAACTTAGATATCAATGGTTCCCAAAATTGCTATGATTACAACATATTCCTCTCATTTAAATTTGTGATCCACCCTTCCTCCTTTATGCAACTTTATTTTAAATTAAAATAAATTATCGTTATTATTTTCAGGGGAAATAATTTCACAATACCCTTTGAGGTAGCTAAATATACCACAGGGTATTGCAAAAACCAGGCTGAAAATCACTGCTTCAGAGCTTCTGTTAACTGATTTTTATGCCCCAAAGTTCTCTAAAACTGAATCTTTTTTTTCCATTTTGAAATTATCATTAAAACATATTTTTTAGTTTCATAAACCAACAAGTCCCTTAAGGAATACAGAACCTTAAAACTACCTATTCCCCTAACATACACGAATATAGAGGTATATATATTTGTATACCTCTACACATCAGGTGCTCTTCTAGGTACTAGGATACAGCAGTGAACAAAACTATTATAATCCATTCTCTCATGCAGCTTCCATTCCAGTGAAAAGGTGCAAAATATCATTATGATGCACAGCCATCCGGGAAATGCAACCCAAAACACAGTGAGATACCACTTCATGCCCACTAGGATTACTATAATCGTAAAGACAGATAATAACTAACACCAGTGAGGATGTAGAAAACTGGAACACTTCTACACTGCTGGCGGGCATATAAAATGGTACAGGCACTTTGGAAAACAGTCTGGGAATTCCTCAAAAAACTAAACACAGAGTTAGCATTTAACTCGGCAATTCCACTCCTAGGGATATACTCAAGAGAAATAAAAATTTATCCACACAACAGCAATATTTATAACAGATGAAATATGGAAACAACCAAATATTCACCAACCAACAATGGATAAATAAAAAGTGGTATATGCATACAATGAAATATTATTTGGCAATAAAAAAACAATGATATATGCTACATTAAAAAATAGTCTACACAGTGCAATATATAGATCTTGTAACATAGAAACCTATATGTTCGTATTGACTAATGTCACCCCAATAAAGTTAATTTTAAAAAGCTTAAAAAAACAGTATGCTCAGGGAAAATCAGTCACACATGCGCGTGCACGCGCGCACACACACACACACACACACACACACACACACACATTGTATAATTCCATTTATAAGAAATGTTCAAAATAGGCAAATCCATATAGACATAATATAGATTAGTTATTGACTAGAGGGAACAATAAGAAGTTTCTTTCAGGGGCGATGACAGTGTTCTAAATTTGGTGATAATTGCACGATTCAATGAATACACTAAAAATCATTCAGTACACACTTTAAATGGGTAAACTGCATGACATATAAATTATGTCTCAATAAAGATGTTATTTTAAAAAAAAGTTAGAGCTGTCCCAAACTGGAAAATGACCCTTCATTGGAAATAATGGGAAGCAAAGGCAAATTGCCTTCAATTGGGAATATTACTATAAAAGATTAATTAGTAGTTCCCAATAGCAATTCAAACTAATGCATAAAAATTACTCAGAAAATTTAATTACTCTGGCTTCCTAAAGTATCTAACTCAGTATGCCCCTGAGTTCAGGAGTCTGTATTTTTAACAAGCTCCCTAAATTAGTCTAATGTATATCAAAAGTAGGAACCATTAGACCACTAAGATTCTAACTCAGTGATTTATGATTCTCTGATATCTATGAGAAATCTATCTCTAAATCTGGTATCTATCTAGTATTTTCCACTCATCTAAGAATTTCAAAGTCCTTAATGGCACTCACTTCCCTGAGTTATAAACGTTTGAGTTTAGAAAGAGGTGGCTTCATCTGATGGATTAGAACACCACATATTTGTAATAGTAACCTATGTGTATTCTTTATTTAAGCTAATTCACTGTCTTCAGGTAAGCCCTTCAGCTAAATATGGTATGAATATATAACACACAGCATCTACAGGCACCATACCTAAACTATAATTTTTTTTAAGTCAGTCAAAGTAACAGTTTTTTGGTAATTATTAGAAATTTAGCAACAAAACCATCCTACTCCTGCCAACTATATTTTTACAACTGTGTTATAAAATTTAAGATAATGCTTTAAGTTTGAGTTAAAACTTCCTATTTAATACTTCCCCTTTTAAAAAGGGAGGGGGGCAAGATTTCTGAGTAAGTCATCAAAACTCTAAGTTACAAAACGTAAATGAGACCAAAAGTTCCAAAATCTAAAACTAAGAACACAGTTTTGAACAACAACAAAACTTCTTATATTAGAGGTACCATAGCAAAATCAAACTTGGTAAGAAAAGAGACATTTTGTCTCATCAGACATTTTTAAACAAAATGGCATGTTTTTCTCCATCAGCCATGCAAAGCACACCAAGTTTATATAAACCTCATGTGCTCTGACAAGTCCCATCCTCTTCCCCTTCTCTGCCTTCATTCCAGAGACATCTTTCTTCATCTGCGAAGCTTTGGGTCTTGTGGACTTAATCTGGTCTTTACCCTTCTGATAATAATACTGAGATAATACGGATTCAAGTCCAAATTTAACACTTTCACTTATATTACAAAAAAAAACAAAAAAGGCGTCTCAGCCAAAAAATACTCCTCTCGCGAGCCCTGTGATGAAGTGTTAGTAAACATTAGAAAATTGATTGCAGGCATGAAATATTAAGTTAAAACAAAGAAAATGTTTTCAGCATGTCTCAAGCTGGAGTAAAAATACTTTAACCAATATGCTAGAGACTTTCATTAATTCAAAATAGACTGAAAGTAAAGCTGCAATGAAAAAATAAAAACACCTCTTACTTAAATTCTTTTAGCACATAAAGAGTTGTACCTACTTCACAAAACAGAAGGGAAAAAAAAGTGTGGAAAAAGTCCATGTTTGGCAAATTTAACTATTAAGCAATTGTCAAAAGCTAATTTTCTTTTCTTTCAACAAATCAAGAATATCCAAATGAGCCTGCAGTTACTCACATGCAGAGCCGAGGGGTCTGGCAGGAATTCGGCATCTTCTCCAAAGATAAAATCAGGGGGCAGCTCTGGGTATTGGGCATTGAAAATTATATCCCCTGAAATAAAAGAAAATGTCAGACCCTTCTCATGTCCTTGTTAAGGTATAACATTCTGAGGAATGCACCAGAAAAACTTCTGGAAGACGTTTATGTTAGACAAAAAAAAAATTTGAAAAACACTTTCTGAATGATTAATTCTCCAAACAAAAGAACTGATATCCTCTTTCAAATTAACACTCACAACATGAATCAAAAAATGTTAATCTCCTAACACACTATAAATATAAATACACAATAGGAAGGTTAAACAGCCACATATAAAATACATGGAGATATTTTTGTAGGAAATGTTACTTCCAGTCACTGCCTGCTAATTAACAGGCCTTGAACGAGGACTGATGCTGTAAAGATACAGTGCTTTCCTGCAAGAAATTAAACATATAAACCTTTGGTATAATGGAAAGAACATCTAGCTTGGAGTAAAAAAAGTCATGTTTATAGGCATAAGGTCTCCTAATTATTCAAATCATCTTGGGCAAGTTATAACTTCTTTACATTTCAGTTTCCTCATCAGTAGAAGTAAGGTATAAGATCACTAATTTCACAGATTTGTAGTGAGGATAAAGAGACAACTACATGTGAGGATAAAAGATCACCATGTACTAGCATGGTGTCTAGTATATAGCAAGCACTCAATAACTGATAAGGGAATACTAATGTTGTTATTACTAGTATTATTTTGAAACATGACAAATTACAAAGTCTCCTTAGCAAATTTGTGTTGTAAATTCTCTGTTCCTTTCCTGTCTCCTCCTTTAGCTCCCTTTTTGTTCCCTCCACTCACCCAAGAATCAGTCCTCACCATCCTGCTTATACAAATAAGCAGATTAGTATGTCAATAATCTAACACATACTGGGTTCTAGTATATAAGGGTATGTATACTTGTGTACTTGCATACCATATATCCATACACACACATACAGTTATATCAGTCCAATCATTTTTACTGCTTAAACAATATCTTCATGGTGATATCCAAATTTAAACATTCAGACTTCAGTTCTCATTTGAGCCTTTCTACCTCTATGTACTATTGTATTTCAATGTCAAACTCCATAAGTCTAATAACATGCTTCTCACTGTCCCTTTTCTCAGTTCCCCTAGCTGACTTCCCTATCTCTAGGAATGGCACTGCTATTCCTTAACCATCATGCTGAAGCTTTGGTATCATCTTCAACCCTACCTGTACCCTTTATATTCATAGAAAACAAAATGTTTATCATATGGATATGTCCCAGAGCTCAGGGCTTTATCCAGGCCCAGATAACCTAGTCCATACATCCATGCATCCAAGGAACAAACATTTAAACTCTGCTCTAAGCTCTGTGCTAGGCATTAAAGACCAAGCAAAGAACTCTGCTCTTGAAGAGTTGCCAGGACTAGAAAAATTCAGTTATGACCATATCCTCTTAAATGATCTCCTAATACCATTTTCCCTCCAGCCCATAATACATACTATCACAAAGTAAATCTTCTTGAAGTACTACTTTGCCCCAAAACTTCCTAGCTAAAAAAAAAATCTAATTGATTTCTGATGTTAAATGGAGTGAGGGCAAGCTTTTCCAACTGGCATTAAGGCTTCCAAAATACAATGTTCCTATTTATTTTTCCATTCTTCTCTCTATTTACAAGCCAATACCTATTTTTTTCTTCCAGTTGATATGATCCACTCACTGACTTTCAAATACTATGACACATAGTTGAAATACTCTTACCCCTTCCTCAGTTCTTACCTATCCTTTACAAGCCCACTTAATTATCTTTTCTTGCATAAAGGGTTCCCTAATAAATTCAGAACTGATCATTGTTCCTTATGAAATTCAGCAACACTATTTGGTTATGACATTCACTTGAGTATTGAAATGTAGTCATATTATTTTTATTGTTTCATTAATTTTTAAAATTCATAATAAACACACCCTATAATGTGAGCACTGTGATACACACTGTATCAATACAAAGATGGTTATCCTCAAGGAGCTTACATTTTATGAGAGACAAGACATAAACTTGATCTTCCTAAATATCTTAAGCATTCAGAAAACATACATACTCATATTTATTTCATGTCTCTGACAAAGCAAAATGCAACACATATAGAATAGATTCAAGAAATGATCAATATATGAAAGAAATTCTATTCTCTACACTGAATATCTAAAGTAAAGATCTCTACAGTAAAGAATAAAGTATAGAAAAGTTATTACTTCTACCACTTTCTGTAAGGAATAAATTTGAGCAAGAATATATCCTTTAGAAGTTGGATTTAGAATAACATTATCAAAAGTTAGTACCAAAAGAAAAGTTGGTACAGCCCTGGCTAATGCTGCTCAATAGTTAAGAGCATTAGCCAGCCCACCAAAGGGTCACAGGTTAGCTTCCCAGTCAAGGGCACATACCTGAATTGCAGGTTCAATCCCCAGCCCTAGTCAAGGTGTTTGCAGAAAGCAACCAATTGATGTGTCTGTCTCACATCAGTGTTTCTCTTTCTTCTCTCTCTCTCTCTCTTTCTCTCAATTTCTCCCCCCCCTCTCTCTACCCCCCCTCCATTTTCCCCTCTGTCCCTTTCACTCTCTGTAAAATAAAAATCAATGGGAAAAATATATTTGGGTGAGGCTTAACAAAAAATAAAAGTTACTACAATCAGTCCCTTCATCCAACCCACAATCTGGTTTTCAACTATATCTATTATGAGTTATAAAATTTCTTCAAATCTGCTAACTATAAAACATTAATCCAAGCCAAAATGAAGAAGAACTAGTGAAAACAATACAAATGCCCTGATTACTCATTCTTATTTAACTACACCCAGCATAAACAATTCCTTAGGAGGACATGTACATACTTTTTCAAAATCTCTATGGCTGGCTTACTTTAGTGACCTTTAGAAAAAATTTCATAAAGTTAATAAAGCAAAGGCATTACAGTTTTGGAAAAAGCTAAGCTACAATCCATTGTGCCTCAATGATCAGAAAATAAATAGCATGCTAAATTCCAATAGAAGCAATTTTATTATTTTTGTTTCTACTGAAGACACAAAGCTTGATTTTCAAATTCTCAAAGGAGCATTGTCAGTAATACGTAGTATTTCCAAACTACCAAACATTAAAAATCTGATCCACGGATATTCACTCTTGCCAATTCTATTCAACATTGTACTGCAACTTCTATCCAGGACATTTAGGCAAGAAAAATTAATAAATGGCATCTAGATTGGATATAAAATAAAAATTAAAAATAAACTATGAAAACCAATAAGTTCAGCAAGGTTTACAAAATACAAGGTAAATTTATAAAATCAATTGTATTTCCATACATTATCAATAAATAATCTAAAATGAAGTTAAGAAAGCAATTTTATTTATAACAGCATAAATAAGAATAAAATACTTAGAATAAACTTAACAAAAGAAATGTAAGGTTGTACACTTAAAAACTACAGACATTGTTGGAAAATGTTAAAGACACCTCAATAATAAAAAGACAACCCAATTTAAAAATGGTCTAAGTGTTTAAATAGCTATTTTAAATAGCAAAGTAGATATGCAAATGGCCAACAAGTATATGAAAAAATGTTCAACATCATTAATCATTAATAAAATAAAAATCAAAACCACAATGAGATACCACTTCAAACCTATTATGATGGCTACAATCAAAATGACATAGAATAATAGATCTTGGTGAGGATGTGAAGAAACTAGAACCCTCATACACTGCTGGTGGGAATCAAAATTGGTACCACCCCTTTGGAAAACAGTTTGGCAATTCTTCAAAATGTTAAACACAGAACCTTATGACCCACCAATTCCACTCCTAGATATATACTCAAGAAAAATGAAAACATGTTCACACAAAAACCTGCACATGAGTGTTTATAGCAGCACTATTCACACTGATAAAAGTAGGGGGGGAAAAACAATATCCATCAACTGAAGAATGGATAAATAAAATGTGAGATATGTATGTCATTCAGTTATTTTAAAAAAGGTACTGTTATATGCTACAATATGGATGAACCTTGAAAATGTTATGCTAAGTGAAAATAGTCAAACACAAAAGGCCACATATATTGTATGATTATTGTATAATTTCATTTACATGAAATGTCCAGAATATGTAAATCCATAGAGACAGCAAGTAGATTAATGGTTGCTTGGGGCTGGAAAAGAGGAAAGGGGGAGTGGCTGACTGCTAATGAGTCCAAGGTTTCTTTTTATGGAGATAAAAATGTGGTGGAAGAGTGCTGAAGGTTGCACAACTTTGTGAATACATTAAAAATCACTGAATTGTACACTTCAAAGAGAGAATTGCATGATATGTAAATTAAATTTCAATAAAGCTGTTTTTTTAATGTGATACAAAAATTTGTCCTCCTTTAATCTTAACTTAAATGTACTAGAAAGTATTTATTCAATAGTTCTGAATAAATTTATTTTTTATAAATAAAATCATCTTGAAAGTGCAATTAGAGAATTCTCCCATTTTTAAAACTCTGAAATGAGCTCTTTTTAAAAACAAAGAATATTTTGATAATATTCTCTGAATACTTTAAAGATCTTTCATTTTCAAGAAGTTCCCATATGGATCCTTTTAAACAACAGTACTGGGGAAGTTAATTTCTTTTTTTTTTTTTCTTACTTTAGTTGATAATTTTATATTTTAAGCAGCTAAAAGTATTTGACTATACAATACTTTTTAAATAAAAGATGTATAGCAAATTAGCACACCCCCAACTGGGAGGATCTTTTTAGAGAGAAAGAGAGAAGTTACTATAATATATATAATAAAAACATCATATAGGTAGTTTTCAAAAAAAAAAAGTAAATTTAAATACCTTTCAGAATCTCACTCTTACATTTCAGAATTTCTCAAACTCTTACCTTCAACCTCTAAGGTCTCCTGAAACACTATGCTCAACATCTATAGCCTCTTTGCAATAAAATGTGTCATTGTTTTCTTGCAATGGAGAACAGTCGGTAAATCAGTCAAGAAC